TCCGAAACAGCACGCCAGACCGCGGAAGACCAATCAATACTGATACAGTACGCAGACGTCTTAACAGCGGGAACCTCCATTGCCGTAGACCTTACCGTGGACATATCCTCATCCCTCGTCATCGGCGTGAACGTCTAGCGTTTGCCCTACAAATACCAAAACTAGCGATACAGGCAATGGAGAACTGTTCTGTTCACAGATGAGAGTCGGTACTGCGTATCAACTGCAGATGGCAGAACAAGAATATGGCGACGACGTGGTCAGCGTTACTCACACCAATGTGTTATGGAAAGAGCCTCATGGGAAGGTGCAAACATCATGGTATGGGGTGCAATAGGCCTGAACCAGAGAGTGGGTCCTGTGGTGTTCCAGAACCTTGGTCCAGGGAGAGGAGGCGGCATCACAGCGGTGCGCGACATTGACCAAGCTCTCAGACCCCACGTCATACCACATTTCGCACGTCACCGGAACAACATTTTCCAGCATGATAACGCCCGGGCCCATATCATACTGCCAGACCTACACGGGACTTCCTACAGCAGAACGGTGTCAACTTTATGCAGTGGCCAGCCCTTAGTCATAATTTAAACCCAATTGAATATCTTTGGGATGAAATTCAGAGGAGACTGAATAATGTCATACCAAGGCCGAACACAGCCGATTTATTGCGCAAGGCCTTTCTCAGAGTGTGTTTCCAGGTGTCAATGGCCTTCATCAATCGTTTGGTGCACTCCATGCATAGACGCTGTGCTGCAGTTATTGCCGCTCGTGGTGGTCACTCTAGATACTGAAGTCAAGAGTCTGAATGGACTGCAAACGTTCACGTAATGTCTTGAAATTGTGCTGAGTTATTCATTGATGTGTCAGGATATTGTACACATAATTGTTTTTGAACCGCTTATTATGTCCATTTCTGACATGATTTGATTACAGTGCCTATCTAATTTTGAATTCGTTCTGACGGGTTTTGTTTGCTGCTGAGTATAGCAACTTATCATGGACTGTATTTTTTTTCAAAATAATCCCCCTAAGCAGATTAGAATGATATTGGCCATTTGTTTTGGATTTTTTTGAAAAACTCTGAGTGTTTTAAGCGTCCACACCAAGTGACCACCATCGTCCTTCCAATATACTAAAGGTGCTTATCAGTCATATTGATATTAGAAACATGCCATCGTATCCCATTTGCCTAAATCGATGCTGAGGCTGTTAATCACTGGATTGTCTGGTCCAGACTCGATTATTTACAGACCGCAGCCATAGAGCTGGAATAGTACTACGTGTACCGTTAAATAACAAACAGACAATAAAACCAACAAACATTATAAACAAATGTCCTGTCCGAACAAACATGAATACAGACAACGTTGTTAAAAAACCAAAACAAATGTGTTTTAACATTATATAATGGTTCTACATTTTTCAGTATTGGTCTTATTAACTGAGATATGGTGTATAAAACCTTCGAACGCTAGAACGGGGATTATTAATGAGTACCACGTACAATTACAACATAACTCTTGTATATGTATTCTGTTCTATAGGGAGTTCTAAAAGCTTCGACTGGGGCTGCTCTAATGATTGGGCCAGCAATCGGAGGTGGTTTCTATGAGGTGGGAGGACATAGTTTTATACACTGAAGTATATGAAACAATGCTGTTCATTAACAACTGATTATGACGAGAATTTATTCAAATTATATTTCATTGTTATTGCGTTCAGTTAACCTTCTTGTGAGGCTAGTGGGTTTTGTTTACAGAATTATACAAAAAATCTACATTTTGTTTTTAAATGCCGCCGTTACATGACGATGTAGATTTTTCAATATGACAGGTCCATATAGGATTCCAGACAGGAATTCCAAACACATTTCACACATAGCTATGTTGTGAGCAGGATTAAGATACTGACAATCGCTGATTCGTGCATGGCATCAATTCCTAAAATTAAAAACTGACCAGTGATCACGTATACGCCAGTGGACCGTTTTCAGAATAGTCAACTTTATAAAACTCTGCCGGGGAAGAGGAAGTGCACTTGGAAAATGGGTTTGACCTAAACTTTTCAAATGTTAACGAAAAACGCGGGAAAGTCGTTGAAATACAGTATCTGCAAATGGAAGGTGTAGAACTGAATTATGAGCTCCATTGATTGTATTAATTGTCCGACATCAATAACATTACATTAGATGAAAAAGCAAAATGTTACCATGTAAGGGTTTTCGTAACTTTGGATAAAAATACTGCAATATTGTACGAATCAGTGTCTATTTTACTGGAAATCAGTCATCTGTGTCTTGCCAAAAAAATTCTAAAGTATTCATTAATGGGTTACATGTAATTGTGTTTTGTAATGTCAACACAACTGGATCCCAATAACTACCCGCTTTCTCATATTCACACATTCATGGATTCACAGTTCTGATTGACCTCGACCACGCTGGTTGTTACCTACGGGTCCTATAGGATAAGCATGCACTGACAATATCATATATTCATACTTCAGTTAGGAGGGTACAGCCTCCCCTTCTGGGTGCTCGGGAGTTGTACCCTTGTCTGTGGAATTGCCTCCTGTATCGTGATGCCGCACCAAGACGGTATGTTTCATTGCATCACTTCTCTTGTTCCTTCAGTGGGATAGCCTAGTGGTTAAAGCGTTCGCTCGTCACGTCGAAGACCCGGGTTCGATTCTCCACATGGGTACAATGTGTGAAGCACATTTCTGATTCCCCCCGCCGTAATATAAACTACTGCAAACTATATTTCTTCAGCACAAGAGGTCTATCCATACACCAAATAAATGTTATCTATCCCCTCATATTATCATTCCACTGGTTGGTTCATGTATCTGCAGTTTGTAACACCCAGTATCTGCAATATATTCTGTTGTAGCTGTTTCCCCAACACAAAGACTGAGTCGGTTTCATGTCCTAGGGAGTCCGTTCGTGTGGTTTGGAATCCTCTCCATCACGGTTACATTCTTTGCTACGAGCTGCATGCTCCCATTCTACGCACAGCATCTGGCTCAGGTGGGTACAACAACGGTAGCGAGATGTTAGGGCCTCGACTGTCGTAGATCTATGTCAGTTTGGGAGTTATGATCGCCCTACTGCTACGGTCGTCTAAATGAACGGGGCCCCGGACAGACAGGCGTGTGTAGCGACCAGGGGTTCCTTTCACGAAGCAACCTTTACTAAGGTCAGCCTTATCTCCCATTCTTTAACACTGAGCTAAGGTTACCTTAGTGACTTACGATCACCTTAGCGCTTTGTGAAAGGAGGCCCTGGTCGCCGCAGGCGTGATCAAGTCTAGCGATAGCCGAGAGCTTGGTCGCTATGTTCTGGTCGCTGCAGGCGTGATCAGTCTCAGGGCTCCTTTTCATTATATTTTTTTTTTTTTCTAGCGATAGCCGAGAGCCGCACTGGGGTTGTCCTACAGACAGCGATAGGGTCATGGCTTGACTGTACGACCCCATCGCGATTGTCGGCTCGTCTAACGACAGTAGGGCTTGATCAGACAAGTTCCATGTATGTCAAACTAGCACGTGTATCTATGAATTGTATTTGTGCACCAGAGGTACAGTCATAATTACTTGAAACAGTTTGATTGTTTGTTTTGCTATTCTTATTTTGTTTTTGTGTCTTTGTTCTTCGTTGTAGTTTTGTTTTGGTATTTTGTTTTGTTTTGTTGGGTTTTTTGTTTTGCTGTTGGGGGGAGGGAAGGGGGAGCAAAATACGCCCTTCTGACTGAATACTAAACAACTGCCCATGATATTGTCGGAATCACACAATCTGCTTTAAGCTGAGGCAGTTTAGAAAGACGGAAATGGGGTGCCGCTTTCAATTACATCGTTTTATTATATTGCAGATGCATTTATCACGTTCATTCTCCGGCTTCTATTCTTATTTCAGTTTCATCTCAGCCAGGGTATCATTGGTGTTATCTACATGACAACCCCAGCTGGCTTTGCCCTCTCAACGCCACTCTGGGGATATTTACTTGACAAACATGTATGTCATTGTCTTCTTCATTGTTTATGATACTTAACTTATTAAGAGGTAATTATCGGGTGGTCAGGCTTGATGACTTGACTGACACATGCCATCGTATCCCAAGTGCGTAGATTGATGCTCATGCTGTTGATCAGTGGATTGTCTGGTTCAGACTCGATTATTTACAGACCGCCGCCATGTAGCTGGAATATGGTTGAGTGCCGCATTAAACAGCAAACCAACCAACCAAACCAAGGGCGTAGATCGATGCTCATGATGTTGATCACTGGATTGTCTGGTCCAAACTATTTACAGACCGCCACCATATACCTGGAGTATTGCTAAGTGTGGTCAGACAGACAGTCTTAATTCTTGTTATCTATAACAGTCCTTGTAATGCATCCCAATTGGGATTTCGGGAAAGAAACGTTCACCGATAACCGTTGTGCCATGAAACGGTGATCGGGAGAACAAATTGAATCAGTATATAGATGCTGGCTTGTCAAGCCACGTACACATAGCTCCATGGTTATCGGTAATCGTGGCAGCAAACATAGGACTACAAATGTGCCTGATTTTGTTTGTTACCTCAGAGATTTGGAGAACTGCTTTACTGCAGTCGTGTCAGAACAGTAAAACCCGTGAAGATCCGGGTTAGAATGTACCTTCAGCAACCCATGCTTGTCGTAAGAGGCGACTAACGGGATCCGGAGGTCAGGCTCGCTAGCATGGTTGACACATGTCATCGGTCCCCAATTGCGCAGATCGATGCTCATGCTGTTGATCACTGGATTGTTTGGTCGAGACTCGATTATTTACAGACCACCGCCATATAACTGGAATAGTGCTGAGTGCGGCGTAAAACTAAACTCATTCACTAAGAGCAGTAAAATATTTGAAACTGTTCAGCCTAGTTTTTGTCCAATATATAGGTAAAACTTGTTGTTACAACGTAGTAGAAACGCTCTTTCCATATCAGTTGTCAGAAACACTTACATTGTGGGTGGGACTGTGTTGTGTATCCGCCAGCTTCCTATTATTTGGACCAGCTCCGTTTCTGGGATTTGTACCGTAAGTGTCAATCATATTATATTGGTTACAATATAGGATGTATAGTTATCATCAACAGTGTCTTTTTTTAACGGTATATTGTACTAATGTGTTACGTTTAGTGTGAACTCATAATTCAGTTAAACACCTGTTCTCGGAAACAAACATATATGCATGACACTTGGCTACATAAAAAAAAAATCAAAATTCTATTTTCTTCGTTGGTGTGTTGGCACTATTCTAGAGTTGGCACTATTCTAAAGTTGGCTGTCCTGAATATGTGGTGCGGTTTATCAGCACCATACATACCCGTGCAGTTGGTTTAAACCAAGCAGTAAGCGTCTAAGAGCTTCCCACCCAACACCAAGCTGACACCGTCTGATATAACTGGATACCCGTGAAGATCCGGGTTAGAATTGATCTTCGGCTACCCATGCTTGTCGTAAGAGGCGACTAACGGCATCAGGTGGTCAAGCTCGCTGACTTGGTTGAAAAATGTCATCGCATCCCAATGATGTTGATGACTGGATTGTCTGGTTCAGATTCGATAATTGACACGTGTCATCGTATCTCATTTACATAGATTAATAATCATGTTGTTGATCCACTGGATTGCCTGGAACAGACTCTATTATTTACAGACCGCCGCCATAAGCTGGAATATTGCTGAGTGCGGCGTTAAACAAACCAACCAACCAATGATATAACTAGAACAACAGTTGTTACTGCACACTTGTGTTCGCTGTTAGGGGTCAGCGTAAAATATATGCATCGTGAATTTCTAGCGAGCTTCCTTCATTTACACATTAAAATTCATTGCATTCAATCAAAATAGGTTTGAAACTAATAGATGTTAACCTGGGTTTTAAAGTTGAAGCGAAAATTAACTTTACTTTGTAAGTTGCGTTCTAAAGCCCCTAGTGGAGCTAGTTTTCGCAAGCCAAATTCGGCCATCACTACGTTATACGGAATAGCGTCATTAATTCAGTGATAATTACATTACATTGAGAAACATCCATTAATGTGTTCGCTCATCGATGACTAAACAATTAGATATGGATGCTTAATTCTGTAATGTAATTATGTGTACTGTTTGTAACAATGTTGCACAATATCGTCTCTCTAATACCAGCATGCTGTGGCTCTCCATACTGACATCCTCCTTCATAGGACTCTCCTTTGCCCCTGTCTCTGTCAGCGCAATGAAGAGCATATACAGGGGAGCAAGGTGAGTTCTGTGAAAATTTGAAATACCCTTGGAATGTCAGTACTTAAAACGAGAAACGATACTGAGCGCTTGCTTCATCAAAATTTCAAATGATTCAATGCTTCTTCAATATAGAAAGGTTATGGAGATTGAAGCGAGTACTGATTTTTAGCCAAGTTTGAGATAACATAGAAGAATTTGTTTGGCATACACTAACCAAAAATAGCCATGATGCATGATCATGCATACATAATAATTCATTACAGCTCCGATATTAACTTTTGGTTTCTGTTGAGTGTTTTGTTGTTGTTGTTGTTGTTTCATGGTGGGTGGGGTCCCATAGATATAATATGTTTTTCATCGTAAAGAATAAATGTAATATACTATTCAAACTTTGCTAAGGATCAAATCATTGATTCAACAGAAATCTATGATATGGGGTCAAATTTGGTTTAAATATCTAAGCTCACTGTAAGCATGGATCCTAGGTTTCAGAATGCCATTTCAACTTGTGGAACCCATACCTGCCATTGACAGGTGTCACTGACTCGTTCCATGATTTGTAAAATGGTTGATTGGTGCCATAAAAAAACATTTGGATGGTTATTCATGTATCAAGTGCATAAGGTTAGACTAAAGAGACTGTTTGCCTAAAGAGGGGTTACCATTTTATTATTTATCTAGTTTTAAATGGATACAATTTCAAATTATGAATCTACGCTTAAGTAAAGTTGTGAATTTTTGTGATCCTTAGAAAAGTGTGAGTAGTATATATACGATACTTCCTTCAGTGAAGTTTGAGGCGTTCCCAAGACCCCAAAAGCAACGCTGTTATGTCCGCTCTCTTTCCTTTCCAGAGATAGGGGACTGAAGGACGACGGAGCTACATTCGGGTTCTTGGCTGGCATAATTCAGTCATCTACTTACATAGGGTAACAATAGGTTTTCTGAGGAGGCCTACTCGATTAAGTTATTTAAAAGATGTTGTCTGTGCACGCAATGAAAGCAGTCCCACAAAAAACGTAACTGCCCCAAAGGGTTGCCATCGGAAATATATGTCAGGAATAATTTTGACTTTACAAAATTGAGAAGTGAGAAATTTTGTTTGGATTCAGCTCTGATGTTCAACCTTTTCAGATAAGAAGTAAGGTTAAGTAGCTGCACGAAAGCAAGACAAGGCATTTCTGGTGTGTCTTCACTTTTGATTTGAAAAATGTATGTCCAGCATTAGGACAATTAAGTAGCCTAGTTCTTTTAGTTATTGATGGGAAATTGCTGGAAACGGCGTAAAGTCTCACTCACTCACTCACTGTGCAACAGGAAGACATTTGTCCGATACACTATTTTGATTTTGTACATTTTGGGAAAATATTTACATCTTACATGCATTTCCGTTTGAATGACACCACTTCGAGTTGAGAAAATACATGTTATATGTCTCTATAAAAGTAGCCTCGTGCCTCGTTAAGTATTCACAATGACATTTTGCACACGTCCTGTTTAGGAAAACACATATCCAATACACGACAGCTTAGATTCAAAAGGTAAACACTGGGCGAAAAACAAGTATTTCGGCTGACCCTCAATTTCAGCCAAGAGTGTGCTTCATTTTTACAGTACAACCAGAAATTATTGAGAAGTTAAGATTGTATATATATTTTTATTTTCGCTCATTACTCACGTATTAAATGTGAATATTAGCAGAACATAACTCCAGATTCAAAGACAGGTGAGCAGTTAGTATTTTGTCAAGTCACCATGGGCAGCAATGCAGGCTTCAATGCGGCGGGGCATACTACTGATCAAAGAAGTTAGAAAGTCGTGGTCCATGCTGTCCCAATATCGGACCACCTCTTTTTTCATTTCAGCAATATATGCCAGATTTTTCTTATTATATAGTCTCCCTGGTAGAAGGTAAGCTCACATAAACATGTCGTACAACAACAATGTTTGTCCGGCACAAGAAGAATCATAAGAACCTTTGGTCTTTAATGCAGGTAGATAAAAGTCTCTTTAATTGCAATCACAAAGGATGATGTGCACAATATGATATTTCTGAGGACGATTGTGGTCAAATTCATATCACACCTTCATACATCCTCATCTACTTGGGTATGCTAAATGACAAGTTAAAAAGGTCAAGTGAGGATACGATGTATGGATGAACAACGTCGTTATTACAATGAGGGGCAACCCTCACTAAGAACCTCAAAGAGTTCAGACTCAGAAAACTTCAAGAAGCCATCCACATCAAAAGACCGTCCTGAAACCTTGACCAAAGCTGTCACATACCACCAGCTTAGCGCCAACTATCGTCAGACATAATCCTTCTGTATGTATCTGTGTCTATACACGACTGGCTTCATTTGTAAGCATATGATTCACCTTAGCTCTTTAGTAGTGTGTACTTACCATGCTTCTCTCTCCACCACTTCACATCTGTAGATTGTCCTCCTGCCCTACTCAGTACATCACCTGCTTGATAACACCTACACCGACCCGTCGCTCCTCATTAATGTAATAAAGAACTTCTACATGCCTCTCAAAAGAGTTTTAAAAAAATGTTTCTCAGACACAAGGTCTAATTCCTGAGAATTGGGTTATGACCAGAACCTGTTTGATCGGAATTGGACTGTTCGGCTATATAGCAGCCTCATGCTTCGTGTCCACAATTCAGGAACTACCGAACTACTGCCTATGCTCTGAAGATAGACAGTCATATCACTCCTCAGAAGTTGTTGGAACATGCATGGCCCAAGTAAAGTTTTCAAATATACTGTAACTGTGACTAGTAAGGTGTGTGTGTAATTGATTTTTTTTTTAAAATTTATTGTTCCCAATGTGATGAGTACAAAAACATGATGAGTACAAGCATATAGAGGAATATGTGCACATAGCAGCTCAATAGCGATATAGTACACTAAGTACATTGAATATCAATATCAGTGATATGTTTTTGTTTAATAGTCATTCAGGGTTAAATTCAGGGATGAGAGGAAACCATTTGGCTGAAAAGGTTTCAACATTATTATTTCGTCTGGAGATGGATGATTCAGTGGTAAATATGTCTTTCAATATCCTTAAGTAATTATCAACTTTTGGAATTGTTTTTGTCAAAGAGCAAGTGTAAATATATCTCTTAGCAGATAAGATTATGTGGTTCAGTAATGGGTTCTTACCTAAAAAGCCAAACCAGATCAAAGCTTTTGTCAAATTAAGTGTTTGGATTCGTTTCGTAATCCATGGCCACTGTTCAAGTTTCTTCCAGAAAGTTTTGGTTTCATCACATTCCCAATATACATGGCATAAGTTTTCAACAGAATCATTACACAAAGAACATATTGTATTTTCCACCAGATTCATTCTAAACAGTTCTTTTTTGGTATAAACAATTCCGTGCAGAAATTTATATTGAAAATCTAACAGTTTCACATCTCTTAAATTCTTTCTTTTTTTTTAATTGAAAATTTTACTTGTACCACACGTTCCCTTCTTTTTGTTGTTGTTGTTGCTGGCCTCTCTTCTTCAGTGCTTGTGTCACTTTTAGGGTAGGAGGGGTTTAACCTTTTGTGAACATCATCATGTGTTACCATCACCAAATGAGAGAGATTCTTGTATAAAGAAGACAATAATTAATATTTTTGTCACACAAGTATAAAACCAACATATTGTTTTTCAGAACGTTCTCTGGTCCATTGCTGGGTGGAATAATAGTGGACCATTTCGGATTCCAGTGGCTGATGGCAGCATGTTCCATTCTGATTATAGTCACGGTAAATAGTATCAAAGACATTGTTTGGAACCTGATTTCAACACGACATATGTCTGTTTAGTTTGGTAGTAAAGAAAACAATGATGTAGTGAGCCCTGATCATAATGTGGTGTCTATAAACCTTTCTGTTTCTGTTTCCAGGGTCTGTCTTTCACGCCCTTCGTCGGGATTACATTGTGGAGGGAGTACAGACTCAGGAATGCAAATACCGGAGGATATTTAGAATTGGAGTGATTTTCATACAAGAGTGAGAAAATTGCCAAAATGAAAAATAAATGAATAAGTCCTCAAGTATCCAGTCAGCAAGGTACACGTTACAGAAATCACTGATGGAATGTAACTGGCATCGGGCATGTCAGTGAAACTCATGGGGATATTCAAGGATTGTTGCGCATTCATCGAAGGACAACAACATTCATCGAAAGATCTGTGACATTTACATCGTAGTGTAACTGTTATCCGTAGAAAAAAATGTGAAACAATTCTTAAAGTTACCAAGTAATGACTAATGGTTTTAATTTGGTTATGTTTGTCAGGCTTGCGTTTCTTTGGTCTGCGAAAAAGTCCATTTGAATCTGGAAGTTAGATGCAGCATCTTAAGCGGTTCAGTAAGACAGTGTGGCATACATACTCTGTCCTCTTAACTTATAAGTTAGTTTGCTGTGTTTCTTGGGATAATTTTGCATATTCCCTCCGAGATCACCTCAACAAAATTCAAAGGAACTCACACGTTACTGATGTGGAATTCAAGGCTTCTGCTTACAAACTGAAGCCTGTATTCTAGTGCTTGACATGGCTAGTCAAATATTAATATTATTAAAACTATACTCATTCAAATGTCATTGTTCCCATCATGTCATTATGACTTTATAGTAACGCATTTGAAATTGCATAAGTTGTAATCATATAATTAATTGGCAATCTTGAAATACTGTTTGAAATAATACACTTCAACATAGATCAACCTGTATATGTCATGTGTGATTATTGTGTAAAACCAAACCAAGTGTCAACTTAAATATCAGGCTATTTTTCATGAGTACAGCAGAAACTCTTAAGGGGTGCTTTTGTAAACCTTGTTGATATATTTAGTTATACATGGCCAATATATTACAATAAACGTGATGCTCTCTGTCATACGTTGTTGTATAATCTATCAGGAAAGCAAAACTATTATTCAGAATAGCACTATTTACAATTCTAACTTGTTTTCGTTGTTTAACCACATACTTAGAAATATTCCAAAGGTATGTAAATTGTCTGGACCAGATAATCCAGTGACTGCCATAATGGTCATCGATCTACATAATTGGGATACGATGCCATGCATCAATGAAGCTCGCGAGCCTGGCCACCCTATCCCAGTAATCGCCGGTAATAACATGCATGGCTTGATGGTGATTCTTTTCCCGTATGTGCACGTATCACAAATTTGGTAATGATGTAATAGCTACTTAGTAACGGTAAAGCATTCAAAACGTTTCCGGGTAGACATGAGTACTCCATTTCCAAATTCCAATGAGAGTCTTTATTTTGATTCCCACTAAATGTCCCTGTGTTTTTCATATGAACAATTTATTTGCCTTTGCGTGTGTTTGTGATTGGTTCCTTTTTTGTATCACGAACATCTCCTATCAACTCTTCTTAATATTTACTTATAAACAAATGGTCATAATACAATCTGAGAATTGACTATTCTTTCAAAATATATTCTAAATGACTGACAAAGAAGTATCATGTTAACGAAAACTGCACTTTCTAAATACAGGTCCGGAATGAAACATATCTGTGTCGGGTGGAAACAAAACTAAAACGGCAATAGATGACAGACTGGAGACAGGTACTACGGCCGATTGTTGTTTAAATTTTCGTCAGTAAGAGTGATGGCATTGTTCACATATTAAACGGATATGACAGGAACATTGAACTGCATCTTGAATAACCAGCAGCGCGAACAACATCTACAACGTACGTCTTTGAAGCCACAACTCACAGAAACAATACCTATGTCTGCCTTCATATTTCTATGTCTCTTCCCAAATTCAAAGTTTCCCATGGATATGCTGGGTACGTATAGTTAGGTAATGAGTTTGAATGGTTAGGCGTACACCGACTGCGTATTTCCTTGTTCATAATTGCAGACCCGTGAAGATCCGGGGTAGAATAGGTCTTCAGCAACCCATGCTTGCCATAAAAGGCGACTATGCTTGTCGTAAGAGGCGACTAACGGGATCGGGAGGTCAGGCTCGCTGGCATGGTTGACACATGTCATCGGTTCCCAATTGCGCAGATCGATGCTCATGCTGTTGATCACTGGACTGTCTGGTCCAGACTCAATTATTTACAGACCGCCGCCATATAGCTGGGATATTGCTGAGAGCGGCGTAAAACTAAACTCACTCACTCACTCATAATTGCAACCGCTGGTTATCTCCGTCAAACTAGATTAAGTACAGTTCACCGTCACTTGGCTGAAACAGTGATGTGCGCGACGTTAAAGAACAAAGAAATATTTGTAGTCATCCCTGAAATTTATACCAGAATAAAGATTTTGGACTTTAAGTGTCGGAATATCATTAAGTGAAATGATACTTAAATCTTGCTCAATGAGGGGGCTTGTGTCGTATCAGGACACGGGACATGTTGGCAACTTGGTCGTCCACATATCCTCAAATCACGTTATCGGTCTTGTTTGTTTTTTATCAAATATAAGTCGGTCAGTGTTTGCAAAAAGATGCGTCATCTACACCAGATAGTCATTCGGTTTTCATACGAGCTGTGTTTACTCAAATAAATAACAACGACAAAACAATATCAACTCAGTGATCTTTAATGCCCATATAGTGCCTTGGGCGCTGTGCAGGGTGAATTCAATCACAGGCAAACTGTAGCGCAAATAAGGTTGCGTAACAAAGTGAAAATGACCAGTCTTCCTATACACGTGTGGCTTGCATACAGAAAGACCGGTCATTTTTCTCTCTGTTGCGCAAGCTCATGTGCACTACAGTTTGATTGTGACCCAATCAAAGAGCAAGTTGCGCATGTTTGAACCCTGTTCATAAGCCTGCATTGTTTTCATAACTCTGACCCTGCCCTTAAATTATAGTGAGGGGTTACCTGTTTAGGCCGTCTTTAACAGGAGATACAGAAATGGGCTGTCCATGTGTTATCCAGTTTTGGAAAGGAACCCTGGCATTTGGCGTAACAATGCTTCCCAAACACACAAACAGTGACATGGTGTTGATTTGTTGGGAGTAATTGTGCAATCGTCAGCTAAAAGTAATCATTTTAAGAATGATTATAATGTCACGGTCCCAGTAGCACCTATAGCCAAGGCAGGTGTTTGTATGTGATCGTATTTTTTGGACCGTTGTAAAATACGACAAACAAGATTTAAAAATACATTGTTTCGATTATATCTCAATGTGATCAAATATCAAGAGGAATTTTTGGTTCCGTCAGTTCCTAAGTACTGAGTGGACATAAGTTGATTCGTTGGTTTGGAGCGGTCATCCGGCTCAAGCGTGTAGAATGTGGTGAGGGGATGCGTTATGTCATTAGGTACGTGGTATTGTATTTGTGTATTGTGAATAGCAGGCGGATTAGGCACCTAATGGTTAAAAAATCAGAGTCACATTGGCATTTCTCTGCAAATGTTACCAACTACACCCGGAAGTGCTTGTTATGTGTGTCCTGGAATTGTGAGGTCATGCGGTTATCCTCTACACAGCTCTGTGAACAGTCCAACACCTGAAAACAGCATTATGATGCTGGCTGACACCTCGAACCAGAAAGCCCAGTAGAGATCGCTGGAGTCGTTGAAGGCGACGTAGATAACAGCACCCAACACCACCAATATACCTACAACAGACATCAATATATAACGTCAAAGCAAGAAAATCTTGATTCTCCACAGGAAACAGATTCCGTTAGATACAATGACAAAATGGAGATGCTAATAATATGAATTGATCTCTCAAATTCATTCCTAACACCAAGTGTTCGCGCAAAGGGTTAGCCTGTCCTGTCTTACGATAGCACTAATAAACGCCCAAATAAGGGCTGGCACACCTATTGAAAGATCAACGGTATCCCATAGTAACGAGCCAAAGTGTGGTATAAGAACACATTATAGCCTGCCCGTTCTCTCTGTGAGGTGAGGTGAAATTGGGTTTAACGTCGTGCTTGAGAATATTTCGCTCATATGACGACGTGCATGCGTGTGTATGTGTATGTGCGGCTGCTTGTACTAGCCCAGACTTAAGCTGGTTTTATAGTGCTAGCCCACTGAGATACCATGCCGCAGTGAAGCATGAATACCCCACTCAGACACATTATACTGACTCCGAGCCGACCGGTCCTTGTTGTACCGATTTATGCCGAGCGCCAGGCAGGACCAACAAGTACCATATTTTAACGTCTTTTGGTATGACGCGGTCGGGGATCGAACCCGCGACCTTCCGCTCTCCGGGCAGACGCTTTAACCACTACACCACGGAGGCGCTCTTCTCTCTGTGACTACTTTAACGTGTATGTGATGCCTTGACAGGACTGGTGCTCGTGATGCTCTTGATGTGGATCACTGGATTGTCTGGTCCAGACTCGATTATTTACAGACCGCCATATATATATTGCTGGAAGGGCGTTAAACAACAAGCACACTTGGCAGGTGTATAATATATTTGCAGTATATTGTAAGGTGCCTCTCACCAGCTCCAATTGCTGACAAGGCCGCAATAGTCAGAAGACTTTTGTTGCCGGTACGAAGGTGCACGATGGAAGCGATGATTCCAAATAAGGCAATGATAACTCCCAGGACAGCCATTGCTTGCACTGCCCTCAGCCATTCTGCAACACAACAGGTCGGGTGATTATACTACTGATATACAATGTTCGAACAAATTATAACAGGATATCAATACTAAAAACTTATATGTGTGCTAGCGAGATTGCTTGTAAGCCATAATAGTGTCTTCTTTAACAGACAAATCTCTGTATCGGATAGTTGAATAAAGCCTGTTGATTTGCCAATAACCACCTTTACTATTGTAAAATAGACCCACAGTATAGAGTTTGAGGCGTATGTAAATATTTACTGATAGCAACATTTTTTCTATATTCATATCTCTTCGATGCTTCTTATCGTCGACGCGCTCGGTGTCCAACACTGTATCAAATCTCAGATAACAAACATCAACGACAACAGGTTGTCACGATGTTACCGTGTGCTTAGACATCATCTTCAAGGACGTGTTGCCATAAATACACATATTCTTGCCCCTTTTCCCATCATATACAAGCATGAAGACGCAAAGCTTAGAATGTACGCCATATTGAATTCACCGGCTGGAGACACCCGACAACTGATTCGTGACACATAATAATCATCAACATATACACAGAAGGTTTATTTATTTATTTTATTTATTTATTTATTTATTTATTGAAACATCAGTATCGTAAACCTTTCAAATTCAGCAGTGGGGCAGCCCAGTGTTTAAAGCGTTCATTCGGCCCACCGAACGTCCGGGTTCGATTCCCCTTATGTTTACCATTTGCGTAGGTTTTCCACCTGCCACCCCCGTCACAGTGCTATATGCACCCTCAAATCCATCCCACTCACGTACAGGAGGTATGACATCTGTGTCACTACTTACGCCATTTATGTATCCTATTTTCGTCGTAGACAGAGGTACACGTTCCCTTATAACAGTCTTTCCAGATGCCGTTGTGGTAGCCTTCATTCCGAGTCCAGTATGGCGAGGCTGTTCCTGCTATATGAAGACACTGGCCAAGGATGTAAGTTAGCGAGCCCAACCTCCCCCCAGGAGTCGCTGGTATTGACATGCTTCTATAGTAAGCATACATGTCTGATATTTCTTAATCTCACAGTTGTATAATTTGATTGCTCTGGCAACCAAAAATGGGTCGAGTTCCCCTTGTTTGAGTAAGACCTGTCCTTGTCTTAATCCTCAGCGGTTGTTGACAAGGGGAGGTAATCAGCTTCCTCTACCAGTTTCATTAGATAACGGGAATGACTCACTAACTGACGACTGAAAGTTCCTGTGGACATCGGAGGTCTGTTGATGATAACTGTTTCTAGGCAACAGTTGTCACATGTACTGAATCATCCCAGGAGAAAGAAACAAAAAAAACAATCCTTCGTCAGTTTTTGCTGTTGTTCTTGGTCCAGACAAGATGTAATATTCCCAGTGAGTGTACTCTGGACTGTGATTGTCACACCAGTTGTGCAACCTCGCCAGCAGGTATTGAGATATGAGTGTCACTGGTAATGATAACGTGGTGTTTATCACTCGGTAAGGCTCCTCGATAAGTGAGTGAGTGAATCGGGTTAAGCCTCTTTCGAGAGTATATCAAATACACCACAACCCTTCACAATCATGCAGGTGCCCACTAATAAGTCAATGTGTTTTTTTATGTTTTCAATAAATAGTGTTTTTTAGTTGAAGGCATCCAATTTCAACTTAGATATTATGTTCAGTTTTGGCGGAACTTGGGAACTTATAACATCGCAACTTTGTTATGAGGTATCCAGACATTAAACACTTAATAACAGCCGCACATCTTAAAACACAGAAGGTGAGTCTCCTTACTGTGTCATTGTCTTTATCTGAAGCATATACATTGGTACTATTCAAAATTATGGACAACGCAATTCCTTCAAATTTGCATAACCTTACAGTTCTTCATATTGCTATAGTTAATAGTTCATGACAGATTGACTATAGTTCATGACAGATTGACTATAGTTCATGACGGATTGACTATAGTTCATGACAGATTGACTATAGTTCATGACAGATTGACTATAGTTCATGACAGATTGACTATAGTAACATGGCAGATTCAGGCGGTCCTTAACTTCTGTTAATACTGTATATTTCAAAGTATATCAAAATTTATAACTTTATATGCAAGAAATTAGGCTTGTCGGCAGTCATTATGTTAAATCCATACTTTTTGTGAACAAGTAAAGACAAACAAGGACTAACCTTTTATTCTCAATTAATGGGATCATAATATGCCAAAGCACACGCACATCATCACGCACATAGCATCAATCCAAACATCTTGGACGTGGGCCATCGGAAGAAGAGGCAAGGCAGATGCCCGTCGAATCCATTTCTCCACTACAGGAATTCATGGTAGCTCTCATGCATCCTGTCCAACGGATTGTACCTTCCGACATATCGCCTGGGCAAGGTGAAAAAAACTGTCAAATTGGACAGCTCTGATGGCAACCATCTCGAAATCTGTCTGGATCCTGGTTGGGACAAGTGGATTATTACTGATGCGTTGGACGTGTGTCTTGAGGAAACTCAGTTGGCGGCGGTAGGTAGCAGTGGTACGGCTGGGCATGAGGGCGTACACCATAGGATAAGATGCTGATCCAACTCTTGCATGGATGATATAAAACTGGTTCCACAAATCAGGGCTGGCGGTAATGGTTCCCTCCATATTGACAACATGTGCAGACTGGAGAGCTTCCAACTGGATATCTATATCAAAGACAGCCATCTTGTTATCTTCCCCATCACCAAACAACAGGGTTTCCGTCCAAATCCCTTCTAACTGAACTCCGGTCAGTATCATTGGAAGTCTGGGATCGGTGTGACTCTCGTGTCTGTATAGAGCGCTGTCAAGGTTTGTGCAGGATGGAAGGTGCGGATGGAAGAGTGGCTGCATTGTCTTGACCGTACTTCAGAACTTCATCCTGGTAGAGTGATTGCATCGGCATGCTAGGTTCTTCTCACGCTCGTTCACGAGGATTATGTCATTATTCAAAGCAAACACTGTGTTATGCTTGTCACTTGAGCCTATCTAATTAGGGGAGTAGTGATTGGATAATTAGGATAATTAGGACTGATCGACTGACCTATTATTACTGTAGGGGTCCGCCTTCGTCAATCTCACTCAAGTGTCTGACAACTGGGGTATCACCACGCTCACACCCAGTCCTTAACCCCTCAATTTACTGTTAAAGGAACGCTGAGTGTGTGTGGTTTTATATGTAGGTGTTATTCCCTATAGGCATTAGAAGACTCCTCCTTTATATGCATATGAATGTATAATCATTACAATGTGGACATGTGTTCCTCATATTCTGATTGCGTGATGTAAATACATCACTAGAGCCGGGACATATCAATAAGACAATATAATGTTGGTCACTTAATCCGTACATCCGTTCTTGTCACAAATTGATGGTATCATAAATTGTGACAGATGTAACCACAACTAGTATCGTCAGACAGGTCGTAACGGTACGAATGCTTTGTGGATCGGAACCAATAAATCTATGCATCCTATTTACCATTTCTTCTCGCGCTCTTTTGTCACTCCTTTATTGTAATGGACAAAATTCACTTACAGCTGAAGGCATTCTATCCAGTTCGTATATTAGAGCTAATGATAAAAAAAATGTATAATTTTGATAAAAACAAAAATAACATTTAAATTTAAAAGGAGCGTCAGATAGACGATTCAAATCCTGAACGTGAGGAAAACTATACCATGCAGGGCTTGTGTACATTACGGCGGGGGTACTCATGTGGGGAGTTGAGCTCGTGTCTTCGTCTAGACTACTCCACCGCCCCGTGGGGCATGAGACAACACCTAGCACAGGGCTGTTAGTTTGTTTCTTAGCGTTACAATCAAGAGGAGAAATAATCATATTTCTGTGAAACCTCGATTAACAGGACAGTACCGTTCCCCTATATATAATCGCAGTAGTCAATGGTATTCAATGGGTGTTGACATATTCTTTTTTACAAATCGAATGCAAAATACATTTCTTACATTGAGAAACTGGGTCTCTTTTGGTAGATATATAGTTCAATTCGCCAAGTGGTCACAGTATGTGAAGCCCATTTCTGGTGTCCCCAGCCGTCTTGATAAAAATAATTCTTATCTCTTTCTGCTGTATATAACAAACGCATCTTTGTTCTTTTTGTTTAACTCTGCCTACAGCACTATTCCACCTGTACGAGGGCAGCTGGTAAATACGGCACACATGTGAACCAAATCAACAAACTTCACAAATTTGAATCAATGAAATATACATACGTTCATTCAGTTCCTTCCCTTCCGAGAGAGAGACACATCCAGAGATGTCCGAGCAGGTCTTCCAGATGCCGGAGTGGGTCCCTGGAAGCGATGACCAGTACGGTGACACCACAGCCACGATGTGGCAAGCTGTCCCCAACACTATAACCCACACTAGAACTCTTGCACGGGCAGAAGGCGTGGGTAATATATGATCATAGCCAAGCATTGCTCAGAAAAGCTGATACTGAAGACTATTTCCAGTTTGACTGAAATGTTTGAAGTGTGGTAAACAACTGTTTTAAGGGAACACTTGTCTTCAAATCCATCCGTTTCCAGGCTAACAGCCGGATATTTTTAATTGTCTGAGCTCGGAAAAAATATTGTGCTAGGATCCGTCCATCACGAGTTAGCGACCATTTTGATAAAGACGACTATGTTCTGGAGACGGCGGGTGAACTATAGGATATAGTTGACAGAGGTCGGTTATCGGCCACTTAAGAGGGGATAACGATTGTTTAAGGAGCAACTTGTCCTCACTTGAAGACGTTCTTATCAAGTTTGGGAGATAGGGTATAGTTAGACTGATATTTACTCCCATAGGAAGGGTATTAAAGATATACGTGTCTGCAAAACAAATTCAGAAGGAGATTAAAACAATCGGAAATTCCTTGATTTCTGCCGTTGAAGCAATCTAAAGTTACCAAGTCATTGAGGACTTGAGTTGGACTATACTGTATTTAATTTATTCTCTTTGTTCTGGGAGACAGACAAGGGTGTAGTCTCAGCTGATGTATAACACACGTGGTAACATGTTTAACCGCCATGATTAAGTCCAGTATTGTAGTTTGTTATTTTACGCATGTGATCAGCAATATTCCAATACTTGAGTAGTGTGTGAGAGTGTGAGTATGGTTTTACGCCGCCTTTAGCAATATTCCAGCAATATCACCACGGGAGATGAAAAATGAGCTTCACACATTGCAACCATTTGGCGAATCGAACCCGGTCTTCGGCGTTAACCACTAGGCTAACCCGCCGCCCCTTTTGAGTACAGCAGAGTGTAAATAATCGAGGCTGGGAGAGACAACCAAATGATTGACAGCATGAACATCGATCAATCCTCGCAATTAGCCAAGTTGTAGATCCTGATCCATTTAGTTGAGACTGTTTAGTCAATCATAGCCTGCTTGGGTCCTCTATTCTGTCTGGTGTTGAGGACTTTGATAGACAGTATTTAATTAGTATACTTACATTTACTTAAATCGTACTGCCGGAACTGCTCGATATACTGGTGCTGTTAATGAAATATATAGCTGAGATATACAAGCTATAAGATCTATTCAATTGTATATCAGGGTACAATGGCCACACATCCTGACGGGCAAAAGAAGTAATCAGTTGAAAAATGGATTACTGGCGCTGTTGAAAGGTTACACACATGCACGCACACACACACACACACCTCGAGCGTGCACCCCCTCCTTTCTCATGAGTGTGCACTCACTCCTTCTCAAAAAGCTGTATCTGCTGATTTGTTCAGTCCAGAATCACCAGACCTCTGACATATATAGCCGGAGACTATTACTGACTGAGTTTGGTTTACGCCGCTTTTAGCAATATTCCAGCAATATCACGGCGGGGGACACCAGAAATGGGCTCCATTCATTGTACCCATGTGGGCATTCGAACCTGGGTCTTCGGCGTGACGAGCCAACGCTTTAACCACTAGACTACCCCACCGCCCCCCCGGAGACTATGGGTTCTATGGATATACAACGTCTTGACAATGATGCACGTCCCACCGTTAACGCTGCCATCAAACAAATGATGCACTGAAATGTCCAGTAGGTTGGTTATAAACATTTGGTTGATTGACATGTATAAATACAAGGTTGAATCGTGAAGGATTGGTGTTAATTTATACAACAGAGAGGGGTGTGATATGCGTATTCGATTATCAGTATAAAGGGACCGTTCATAATTTATGGCTAGGGGGTGGGGGTGATGATGATTTTTATGGACAAGAATGTACAATGTGAATGACCACCACCAGCCTATTTCATATTTTTTTAACCTTTTTAATTCGGCATCCCATTCAAATTTCCCTTAACTCGGTCGTTGGAGTTTTTTTTGGTAGTAACACCAATCTTTCAAAATTTTCTATGCTTCATTCCCCTCATTTCCTAAAAGTGTACTACCCCGTCGCCGAAATACCTTAGTTGTGTGTGCAACATTAAATAAAGCAAATAACTACTACTACTTCATTGACAATTGGGCTTACATTTCCCACGCTGCCTACAATATGTTTGTTGGCAGTTTGGGATGTAGGCAGTTCGGAACTGTAGGCAGTACGGGACCTAATCGCCAGGGATGTAGTGAATGTACTGGACAGATGTTCTTAGTCCATTCCTGTACTTTGGGAGAAACGTCTAGGAAAGGAAGTCTTTTTGCGTTTTTTCTCCATTGTGAATTGAATGCACTGATGATCCACGTTAAGATGTTTGAGTAGTTCTGTTTGGATTGATAAGAGGGGAGCCCATGGGCAGGTCGAGTATTTGCTTGAAGATGCAATATATGAGGTTGAGACTGTTTATGTCAGTGATAAGCTCATAATTGGCGGGAAGTAATAACGCCACATTCATTTGTACGAAAGAAATTGTACCATCCATTGAAATGTCACCCTTTTTCATCATACCATCTCCACCACTTAAAGACGTCATCTCTCAATACGTACAAATAATTCGTTACAAATTCGCGTGTTCACACTGTGATCATTGCTGTTATGTATTATAAATATGATTGTTTAGGTCGTTACCTTTTACGGAATGCATCGATGTTTACCTTGCACCTAAAATACCCCGTCACAGACAATATATATACCATGAAGTTTTTTTCAACGTTACAAATCCTGTGTAGGGTTCACCATTTTATTGTTGCCTTGTGAAAAAATTCAAAAAATTCAAGTCACTTATAAAAGTCCTGACTTGGGGCTAAAAAAATATCCTTGAAAAGTTTCAGTAAGTTTTCGTTACACATCTGCTGCATTTTCAAATGCCTGTTAGAAATTGCATTCAATTCGTGACCTACGTCGCGGAAACAGGCGACTAAAGTACTGTCGGAAATGCTAGAAAAATGGTTTTTGACTTATATTTAAAATTCAGAGGTATTACAGTTACTTAAATAACAAATATCACTTCAAGAAACATCTACCTAATGTAGACCGAGGGAATACATTTTGAGACATGCTCTAAAATGTGTTTTTACTGATGAAAATACCAAAAACTTAGAAAAATAAGGGGTAGTTGGACGTTATTTGAAACAAACATTAACTGCCTGTGTTACGTCATCGGCATGCACGCTGTCGACAGGTGAAATTGACACCTGAGCACACGCTCGGGCGAGGGTCATCTCAATAGATGTTTTCTGCAAAATGTTGAATATGTGTACGTATAGTATACGTATCAGTTATGTAAGGGATCATTTGTGTATGTGTGTTTGTTTTGAAATAAACATACGAATTACTGTACATTGGAAAGAATCCTATCACTTGTGTTATCTTATCGATTGATTGTAGAAATGTGCAACGTTTTAATAAATGTTTTGCATGTCAACAGTATATTTCAATGAAAAAATATGAATGTAATTCGGTCAGTTTAATCTAGTTGTGAACATTGGCCAAAGATTTAACGAACTCACTGGTGTAGCTTCTTTTTGAATATATATATTTTTCTTCTCATAAAGTTTGTAAACCGCCCGTCTAAGCACTCCCTTGTCAAAGTTGTCAAGGATGGTTTTACGTCCAGGTTTAGCATTTGAGACGGTCCCTGTCTTGTCTGATTTGTTTACAATATTGTTAACTTGTTGGTAAGACATGCCAACAGCTCTACAAGTTCTGTAATTAACCCTTTCTAAACTAATGAAAGGTTTACCTCTGTCTTTTTTAAGCAGAAAAAAACTATAAACCTTTGCAACAATCGACTGCAAATCGTTGGCCATAGTGGACGCTGTGATAAAGATGTGCATGCATGACGGGAAACTTATTTATCAAGACTTAACATTTATATTAATATTTCTTCAATAAAGAAAACGATAATTAAGTAAAGTAACACAAACATTCAACATTTATTTGTTTAGGAAAAACGTTAATTCATATTTTTACACCACCTGTATTATTAGCATAAATGTAAAGACTATTTCAGATTTCTGTTGTTGAACTCTGAAAAAAATCTTAAGTTGCTGTTTTGGTACCAAATTCTCTCCTGTAAACTGCCCTTTAAATGCATGGGAATGTTAAATTGATTGAAATAAAAATTAGGTAGACAATAGGCGAGTTGATATATTGACAACATAGTATATTTATCACCTTTATAAAGATATTCAGGCTAAAAAGCATTTTTCTAGCATTTCCGACAGTACTTTAGTTACGAATGATTGCATTCAAGTGGGAGTGATCATTGTATAGAATCGTGGTACTGAGACGCGGAAACTGGTTCCACTCGCAATAGGCGCAACAAATTATGCGTCGTTATAAACCTGTTAGACAAGCGCCCAGTCACTTTTGTTCAATGATCGCTCCCTTGTACCCATAATGCACAGGAGTTCCTGTTATAACTTGCATTGTCATTTACAGTAAGTGTTGAGGTTGGTTTCTACATTAGATTGGCATGGTGGTGAAACGAACTGATATTTACCTCCCCTGATCATATTCATTCACAGTGTATTATTTGAAAAAGTGGTTGTATTTTAACGATTTTCTCTCTAGACTGGGCAATATATTGTTTTTACCTATTCCTTCTGTTTTCGCTCACGTTACGTCCATGCTTATTCTGAAGATAAATCTGCTAACATGCCTGCGAGAAATGTCAAAATACTTTAGTTATAGTTAAACATTTAAAGGTGCAAGCATACAAAAGGCTTGATACTTTTCATCAGGTCAGTGTTAAGCCATATCGGCAAATACTCAAGAAATTCGGTGAAATTATCAGCGAAGAACCATATTCACTGGCGTGGTATCTACTTATTAGCGGATATGATAATAGAAGTGATACTTTGAATAATCTCATGAATCTGTGCTGCAGCTTGTGAGACGATGTTTTCATGTACATCAAGTCTGTTACAGAGGCCTTGTGTCCTTCCTTATTTAATCAATCTGTCACAAATGTCTTTCTGGTGATTATCATTGATGATTCCGAAGAATAATGCTGTTCATATTACGACAGTAACAAAATACTAACAATGCATGAGATATGGGAAGTTGCCATTCATTTATTTCATAACACATAACAGTCATGGGCAAAGAGTTAGCAAATGTTTGATACATTGTGTTGTGAATTCGTGTGTTGTGAATAATATTTTGATGTTTTTCTTTGCCATTTTCAGGATTAACCAATAGACAAGAATGGATCGCTTATTAAGACTGGGTGGAGGAATGCCAGGGCTTGGTCAAGTAAGTAGAACGAGGACGTTGTCAACATAGAAAACACATTTCTATGTTGACAGGAACGCTTCTCATCAGGTTTTGCAAAACCCCACTGTACTGAGATTATATTAATCTCATGAGAGTGAATTATGATGTTGCCCCAACCAAGTTCTGCTTAGTCACAATGCATAATACTTTTAAAATTTTATGACATTGGGTAGCTACTGATTTCCTGAATTTGAAATAGACAAATGAAATTAATGTTTTCAAACTTTTGTCAGTTCTTTGTTCTTAAGGCTGACTGAAAAACAAATTGTTTTAATTTTAAGTCTCTGATGTTTTCTCTTTCAGTGATAATCACCGGTATGGTCATGATGATACTCATGATGATAGTACTTATTAACTGAAAAACAACGTAAATATTGTTTCTTTCCTAGGGTGCTGCCCCATCAGATGCTCCTGTTGTAGACACAGCAGAACAAGTCTACATATCATCTTTGGCACTGCTTAAAGTAAGAAGGGTTGTTTCTACAGGGAGAATGTTGTAGCTCATCATGTATAATCAGTGATTGTGCATCCTCTGTATTTCCTTGGACTACATTTCTATAAACTTTACACTTACAACAGGAACGTTTCACATAGTACTTGCAATCACAAAGTACCTGCCTTTGATTGTCAGGAGCCAGTTAGATTTACTAATTTAATCAGTCTAACAGAACAATCAATGGTCTAACAGTAATTCAAGTTACAAATCAGCCTGAATGTTGGGGTGGCAAAATCAACACCATGAAAGCTGCTAATGATTACATTAATGTTTGCAAGAAACACATTGTGGAAAAACGGACTAACACTTTCAAGAGAGCACTCACAAATCCTTTTTATGTAAATAACTTTAATAAGGTCTTCATGAGTGTTTAAACTGGCAGATCCAACTCACCCCACAACTGGTTCCTTGTTCCGTATCGTGGCTTTTTATTGGTTGGTAAATCTATTAGCTTTGATGATGATAACCCCTGGAATGGATCCAGGGATTTGAGTAAACTCTTCTGGGTTTATGCACAATTAATCAGTAGTGTCAGAAATGTGTTCTTATTTTGGTCAGGCTCATGTTAGATATGTTAGTGATTGACAAAATTATTTCAAGCAAACAGTACTCTTTCCAGGGGAACAGTTAACCTATTGCCAGAACTAACTATGTCCCAGACAGATATTGTTATGCGTATATACTTTAATTTTAATCTCTTTACACCAAGTGCATGACATGGTGTATTCATACATAATTGAAAATTCAAAGATCAAAAGTGCTGAGTTCTTGTTCAGAATCCTGCTTGTAATTTTTCTTCTAACTTACACTTTTTTCTGACTGCTTGAAACTGTAGATGCATAAACAGACAGGTGATATATAGAGATTATTACACGAGCAAGTGTGTCATACGACTTATACGAAAGTGTGAAATTTTGTATTGCGAGGGCGAAGGCAATACATAATTTTGCACTAGTTTCATAGAAGTCATATGACACACTTGCTCGAGTGTAATATTATCTTTATTGTCCATTTCATTCATGTACATTTGTGCAGTAAAACATGATAAGCAAGTGTGACGGCCCTGCTAATTGACATCACGTTCCATTGTTTAACGACATCACAGACAACGAAATACAGAAACATTGATTCACATGTGCACATATGATATATATAACACTGGTTATGTTCACCATATGGATAATAGATGGATGTGATAAATATCTGATAGGTTGACAGACAAAACATCAGTTTTCATACATTTTCTATAACCAGCTCAGAACACTTCAAACTTTTTAAATAGGCACCCATTTGGTTAAATTGATTGCATGAGAAAAAGGAAACATGTGTTTATGTTAATTTTCTACCCACAGTATCCATCAACAAGGATAACATGACCTCATATATTTTCAACATGTTAAATGATAGATGTTTTAGTAGATCTGAAAATATTAAAGTTAAAATAGTGTCTGTCTTGTACAAGCAGGAGAAGTCAGTCAATTAATAATTGTTTTATGTCTGTATTCAGATGCTGAAGCATGGACGAGCTGGTGTACCGATGGAGGTTATGGGTCTCATGTTGGGGGAGTTTGTGGATGACTACACTGTCAGAGTCATTGATGTATTTGCCATGCCACAGTCAGGAACAGTGAGTATCAACAAATCCTTCTATGTAGTTAATCAGTGTTAAATAGGATCCAGCGTTTATCATGTTTATTAGCATGCTTAGAATGGGTCTCCAATATCTTTGAGCTTGTCTTCAAATAAATCCATGCAAGCACAATTTTCATTAAGGTGACTGTATTCACTGTAAGTGATGCTTCTTATTGATAAAACTTTGAGGACTAGTGTGTGTCTTTTTTCACCTCAGGGTGTGAGTGTAGAAGCAGTGGATCCAGTGTTTCAGGCCAAGATGTTGGATATGTTGAAACAGACAGGAAGGTCAGTATTGGCAACTGTGTGCAGCATAACGCAATAGCCTCTATACTTATACCTGACGTTACTTGATTCTGATAGTAATGGTGCTTTAGTTGAATTAAATTTTAGATAAAATTGACTGCAAACAAAAATTCCAACAGACTGCCTGTCTGCAGTATGGTCTCCAGACCCCAAAACGTGAGTTTGTAGTATATAAATATATGCATAGAAGAATAAAACATTCCTGCTGACAATAATTCTTGTATATTGAAAGATTTAATTGTGTGAATTTCCTTCGATACTGTTATCGAACTGACCAGAACCGGAGGTACCTCCCTTATTTGACCTAGTTTTAAGACACCTCTTGAAAATAGCTCTCTTGTATATATTTCTCTATAGAATTTATACCAGTTGTTATGAAGATAGTGATACAGCGGCCATTTCCTCAATATTTATTTACTAGAGGATGGATTTGACTTGTGGTAATGCCTTTTTTCAGCTTTTATGTTTTCAGATTACTTTTATTATCTTGTTTTCACAATTTTTTTATAAACATTCATATCAGTAGGCACTTGAGATATAATACCAGTACACACATTATGAAGCAATATGGCTGATAAGATAAGAATAGCTTCAGCCAATTGTAGAGGCCTGGCAGAAAAGAGAAAACGTAAAGAAATTATGAACCTTTGGCGTAAAAGGAAGTTTTCAATTATATGCCTGCAAGATATTTGTATTTGCAAGGAAGATGAAACTACTATGAGAAATGAATGGGGTCTCCAAAGCATTATAGCACCATATAAATCAAATGCAAGAGGGGTCGCTATTTTATTTAACAATAATTTGGAAGTAAGTATCCACAAATTCATGACTGACAACAGTGGAAACTATATAATAGCAGATGTAACTATAGAAGGAATAAGAATCCATTGACTAATATATATGGTCCTAATCAAGATGAACCTGATTTTTATAATGCATTATTTCATAATATTGATGAATTTGAAAATGAATCTTTCATAATATGTGGAGACTGGAACTTAGTTCTTATTCCTTCCATAGACTTAGAAAATTATAAAAATATCAATAATCCAAAAGCAAGAAAAGTAGTGTTAGACAATATAGAAAAGTATGACTGTATACATTTGTAAAAATATTGAGTGATATTTTCAAGACAGAAAAGTTTATTGCCAGTAAGAATCAAAACATATTACAATTTGACAGAAAAAGGTCATCTCTACTGTACACATTCCCAGCTTAATGAAGATTCCAATAGGTGTAATGCCAACCCATATGAATTTCTGTATTATTGTGTACAAGTCCTGTTGCATCATGTACTTATTATATTTCTATCTACTGATTTTAAATGAATAAAAAACAAAATCCCAACATACTTGGAAACCTATTTATAACCAACATCAAAACTTACAGATAGCATGTATTATGCAAATCCTCCTCTACACAGCTGTATTGTTTTTTCTTAAGTAGTATAAGGTAATCATTGCTAAAAGACAGCTGACTGAGTTTAACCGCGGTCATTACAGCTTAATGAGGTCCTTAAATTCCTGGGTGCTGTTCCACAAAGCCACTGTAGCACTGCATGTGTCAGACGTCCTTGTTAATTTATGGGTGCTACTGTAACCTTGAGCTAAGATCACTTTGTAAAACAGCACTTTGAGTGTGCCCTGTCTGCGTATGTGTTTCCTTTGTAGATACAATAATTCAGCTTGGTGTTCTACCTTGTTTAGAGAGATCATTTGAAATATCATTCACACTTTGGTTTCAATTTGGGTTATAATGTCAGTGAGTATTTTGTGTTTGTATTTGACAGACCTGAGATGGTGGTTGGATGGTATCACTCCCATCCAGGCTTTGGCTGTTGGTTGTCAGGAGTGGACATCAACACACAACAGAGCTTTGAGGCTCTGTCCGAGAGAGCTGTTGCAGTTGTTGTAGATCCCATACAGAGTGTGAAGGGCAAGGTCAGTGGGTTCAGTCTAATGCTGTGGAAATTGTTGTTGAGTTATATTTCTTGGACACTTTGCAGAACTATTCCATATTTTACACAGATGTTTAGGGGATGCTGAATAACATTTTGTCAGTGATTTTAACGCCAGTGTTCTCAGCTACCTAGTTCAAATCCAGTAAATCAACTGTATTGCTTACACCTCGCATGGAGTTCGCAGAATATGTACACGGACATGGGGAGGGATATCCCAAAAATGTCACAGACATAACTTTCAGCATCATGACCTACCATGCAGCAATCCAATACACATATAATTGATGCAAGATGACAACCTTGCTTAAATACTGACTAATCAACTGATGACATTCAAATCCGATACTATGTCAGTCAAATATGAGGGAATGAATTGTAATCAGCGCTTCAAATTTACCACTAAAAGTTACGACAAATGTGCATCTGCAGTCACCTTTTCCTTTGGAACCTAAACTGAAAGATGTTTCCATGAATTTAACATGAATATGTGATATGATACATATCATGATCAATGATGATGTATGAATTTTTGTGGTAAGCATTGTGTTGTGACCTTACTGTGTATGATTTAACCCCCATGTACATTTGTGCATCAAAAGCCTCTCATCCAACCTGTGCACCCTTTAATAAATGACTGGTCCCTGAGCAAGTCGTTGGACATTTCTTGTGCATTTATTTGATGCCACACACCTATTGACCTCTTCTTTACACATTAAAATACTGAAATAATAATGTTTTGTGACAGGTTGTTATTGATGCTTTCCGTCTCATCAACCCGAACATGATGGTTCTTGGTCAGGAACCTAGACAGACTACATCCAATCTTGGTCATCTCAACAAGCCTTCTATACAGGTAGATAAGTACTGTCTGCTATGAGGCAGTGTCCTAGGTGTGTTACATCTACCTACAGTACAACCAGAAATTATTGAGAATTTAAAGGTTGTAAAGTTTAATATTTTTCACTCATTTTACTCACATATTAAATGTGAATATTAGCAGAACATAACTCCAGATTCAAAGACAGGTGAACTGTTAGTATTTTGTCAAGTCACCATGGGCAGCAATGCAGGCTTCAATGCAGCGGGGCATACTACTGATCAAAGAAGTTAGAAAGTCGTGGTCCATGCTGTCCCAATATCTGACCACCTCTTCTTTCATTTCAGCAATATTTGTCAGATTTTTCTTCTTGACACTTTCCTTCATAGGTCCCCAAACATTTTCTAGTTTGTGAAGAGTTATCCCCATTTGTTTACTTGCTAGCAGACAACACTTTCAGTGATCCTCAGTATGGATAATTTAGAGAAGAGGAAGTTGATTTCTGAGTATTGTCCCCCGGGATGTCAGATCAGGAATATTGATTTCAAGTAGAACAGGCAGTCCGTGTCTTTCATTTCAGCAATATTTGTCAGATTTTTCTTATTGACACTTTCCTTCATAAGTCCCCAAACATTTTCTATTGGATTTAGGTCAGGGCTATAGCTTGGCCAATCTAATAATGTCATATTTTGGGTCCGAAACCAGGCCTGTGAATGCTTTGAACGATGTTTTGGGTCGTTGTCCTGCTGGAAAATCCAAAAATTTCCATAGAACACGTGAGCAGATGGAAGTAAATGTCCCTCGAGAATATAAATGTTAGTATGTATGTATGTGTACCGCTCACTGTTCATATTCCCTTCAAATACACAGATGGGCGTTGCCCCTACCACAGATATCACAGTGTATTAGGAAACAGCCACACGAAACTTTCATCTGAGAAAATCACATTGTCCCAGTTAAAATTTCTATGCTGTAAGCACCAGTTCAACCTTCGCTCCTTTTGTTTAGGTTTCATGATTGGTGATGGAATTCCTCGACTTTTCTGCCAACCCATTGCATGCAGCTCAGTTCTAATTGTCTCCTTAGAGACAGCCACAGTTCCTCTATCAATCATATCCAGCCTTAAGTTTTATAAAACTCCTTCGTTTGTTTTTAGAAACAAGAATATCAAGCCGCCACCTGTCACCGACAGTCAATTTTCTGGGCCTACCTGCGCCTCCCTGGTGCTCAATGCCATATCCATGTGCAATATTTTTCAAAACTCGATAAACAGTGGACAAAGGGATGCCTGTTCTACTTGAAATCACTTTAGCTGATCTGATGTCCTTGTTATAATACTCTAAAATCAACTTCCTCTTCTCTAAATTATCCATACTGAGGATCACTGAAAGTGTTGTCTGCTAGCAAGTAAACAAATGGGGATAACTCTTCACAAACTAATGAAAAAGGATTAACGGAGTTGTCTCTCTTGAATGAAACCAAGCATTTGATAGCTGGTCAAGGTTGTTTATACTAGAAATCCAATTAAACATATTCCTAAAATTCTCAATAATTTCTGGTCATGCTATATGTTATTAGAATTGTGGTGAATTGACGGTTATATTTACTGTCATTTACAAACAGATCCAGGTGTCCAGCAACCATTGCTTGTTGTAAGAGGTGACTAACAGGATCTAGTGGTCAGGCTTGCTGACTTGGTTGATGCATGTCATCATATCACAGTTACGTGATATCAGTCATGGGAATGTTTGGTCCAGCCTTGTTTATAGACCATCAGATATATGAAAAATTGCTGAGTTAATGTTAAACAGGTGGATTAGCAGAGTAGCTCTCGTTTAAATGATTATTTTGTTCTGTATTTGTCTGCATAACTTAAACATCAAAAATCATGTTTCATTTCTGTTTCCTGTTGAATTTTGCTTTTGTGTATGAGATAATTGGAACAATTGTAATCTTTAGGCTCTGATCCATGGGCTCAATAGACACTACTATTCCATTGCCATCAACTACCGCAAGAATGAACTAGAACAAAAGGTATGTAATTGAGATACGACATAACCCATTGTACTACATTGCTCTTTGAAAACAGCATGGTGATATTTATACTACTTCTGTATATGAAATAGGAAGAAACAAAGAAGTACAACTTAAATGTAATCAGGTGAAAGTACATGATTCTATTTTTTAATGATACCAGAAATTTGTAGATCATTAGATTTGTGTATGCTTACAGTGAATGACTTATGTGTATGTTTCCAAAAACAACCAATATTAGGACCTTGGTGACATTATTGTCACATACTTTTGAAATGAATTGTGAATGATCGTATGCCACGATGTGCCATTTTCTCTTTAGATTTTTTCTAGCACCTGTCAGTATTTCTTGATGTCCATGGCCAGTTACATCTGCCATACTTTCTTGATTACAAGTTTCCCTCAAGCTTGTCATTGTCCCCTTGATCACTCTGATAAGTTCTCTGAAGCATATGTCTGCATCTTAATGAACTGTAAGGTATGTCCATTCACACATTATGGATGCTAGCATGTACATCTTGTTTGACTGGAGCCTCTGTCTGGCTGCAGATGTTGCTGAACCTGCACAAGAAGAGCTGGGTTGATGGTCTGATGCTGCAGGACTACAACACCCACTGCAGCCTCAATGAGAAAACTGTCAAGGAGATGCTTGATCTGGCCAAGAACTACTCCAAGGTGAGATTACTGTATTTGTGGTCTGAACCAAGGATCTGGTGGTCACAATGTTGACTTGTTGGTTCGTAGGTCATCTTATAATTTGTTACAGAGTCTGTCAATCTTTGTTTAAAGGGTTCAGACTGAAAACCAAATTAGGAGAAAATGCCATTTAAAATCTCCCAATTTACGTTAATATAAATGGCAGTGTTTATGGCTTTGTAGGAACAACCTGCAATTTAGTGAAAACAGGACGAGTAAATAGGAACAGGTTGTAATACTTCATTTTATGTTTAAAGTGTGGCATTGATTGCAAAATCAGAAATTTAAAATAACCAGGTTAGAAGTGCTTTTTCATCTATGTTATCAACATGCCTGCAGTATTGATACCTGTCTGGCAACATTTCTTACCAAGAATGAATTGTAAATTTTGAGATTTCATTGAGTTCATTCTAAAGTGCAGTAACTATTGTTGTCTCTCATAAGGATTGTTTTCCCTTATTTTATTTTCAGGCTTTAGAGGAAGAGGAAACGATGACACCGGAGCAGCTTGCTATAAAAAATGTTGGAAAACAGGTAAATTGTCAACTTCACTTTGTGAAGCCCATTTCTGGTGTCCCTAGCCGTGATGTTGCTGGAATATTGCTAAAAGCGGCATAAAACCAAACTCAGTCGGTCAGTCAGTCAACTTCACTTATCATGTTTTTCCACAGATTACCTCCCTTGGTATTAATGCACAGGCTGTAATCATATTTTTTAGTGGGCTCCAAATTGTGAAACAATAACTACAAAAGGCCACCAGTGAAAGACTATGGTGCTTATTTATTTGGAGATTGGGACCTCATGACCAGTCCTATGAATATATCTACCTAAGATGATATCTTCCCATGGACTTCTTCCCAGAATGCCCTAGAATATTCTGAACGGTTTCTCATGTTTATTCAAAATGTCTAATTGTCTTTATGTCCAAACCTTCACCAACTACCTTCACTGGGATGGAAGTCAAGATATTATAAAGATGAAAGTCACTGATATTTTTGTTTTGTTACAGGCAGTTTCTTTTGGATAACTTTCTTATAAAAATTGTCTTTTTATACAAAAAATCAAACTTGCACTTGTTAATGCTTTTGAAAACAGGAAGTGGCATTATGAAGTGTCAATAACTCTCTTATTAAGCTAGGTTGAGCCACAGAACCTTTCGTTTTTAAGTTAGGCATGTATTTTCAAAAACAGGAACTGGTGTCTTTAGATCACAATTGTGGTTAGCCAGGGTATATCACTTTTCTGGTTGCAACTTATGTAAATATGTGTGGCCCAAAGGTAACGTCATCAGACTATCATCATTAACAAAACACAAATCCATTTTCAGTTCTGATCGGGGGCAGTGGGGTAGCCTAGTCGTTGAAGCGTTCACTTGTCATGCTGATGACCCGTGTTCGATTCCCCACATGGGTAGAATGTGTGAAGCCTACTAGTATTTCTGGTGTCTCCCAACATGATATTGCTGGAATATTGCTAAAAGCCGCTTAAACCTCACTCTAATTCTGATCATGTCTCTTTTGTTGGCAGGATCCCAAAGCGTCACTTAGAAGAGCATGTTGATGTCCTGATGACCAAGAACATTGTGCAGTGTCTGGGCTCCATGCTGCATACAGTTGTATTTAAATAGACACTTACCGTATATCATCATGTGGAGTCACCAATTCTAGCCAAGGGGAAAAACTACATCAAATAACGTTTTGTGTACTTGGAATACAGCAACCAGCTGATCATAACACTTGATGGTTGAACTGGCGTATGTCAAGGATAATGTCAAGGGGAACAGGAACTCAGACAGTTGTAGAAGTTTGAATATTGCTTGTGGTGTGGACGTTTGAGATGGCTGGATTCAGAAGAGAAGATGCACACAAGTGCTTATCTCCTTGTACATACAACTTTATGCTCTTGTCAGTTTCCATTGTATTGCTTAAGATCATTTCATTTGTACAAAATTTATGTCAATGAAAACATTATAAACAATGTGTGTGTTCTGTTTATACTGACAGCCGCCAGAAACAAAAATTGACCAAGTTGTATTTCAAAGCAATTAGGTGGGAGTGTCGGATAATATTTTTGTTCAAGGCACTAAGGGCACTCGTGTCTTTGTGAAGATTTAAAGATTTAAAAAAAAAATTTCTTTGAGATGACCCCCGACTCGAATGCTACACAGTACAATACATTATGACATAATGTATTGTACAATGATGTATTGTACTTTGTAGCATTTTGAGTTGGGGGTCATCTCAAATGTTTTATGTGTTTTTAACATCTTTAATCCTCGCAAAGACACGAGGGCCTGTGACTCATGGGGGATTAAAACATACTATCACCCTTTGGAGAGGTCTTGATACTTGGATGGCAATTGCATTTCGCTGAAGTTGGCTTAAGAGGCTGAGTTAATCAGCTGCATGCACAATGAGTACAAGCATTAATATACTGAGTCAAAAAAGAAACTTCACATTCTTTCATCAGGGCACTATAAAAGAACAAGAGATGGTTAAAATGTTATTATTTCATTGCTGAGATCTGTGTGATGTACTCGATACACTGACAGTGCCATAATCAGTTCCATTAGGCTACACCGCCGTTCCAAAACATGGGTATACAGAATGTCAAGTCACAAGAATGAAAATGCGAAATTTCTCAGTTCAATATCGTGTATGGCCGCCCCGCGCATTCACCACTGCCAAACACCGTCTCCTTATCGACTGCCTGATGCTTGTGAACACGTGGTTGGGGATTCTGCGCCATTGCTCTTGCAAGGCAGCGCCAAGTTCCTGCAAATTCTGAGGTTGGTTCCTAAGACCACGAAGCCTTCTCCCAAGTGCATCCCAAACGTGCTCTATTGGATTAAGGTCAGGGGACCTTGATGGCCAGTCCATCACGTTGATTCCAGCGTTTTGAAGGAAATTTCGTGTCAACATCACGGTATGCGGCTGAGCATTATCATGCTGGAACCGTAGACCTGGGCCATGAGCCGCCATGAAAGGAACGAGTTCAGGGGTGAGCACCTGGTCGCTGTAAGCAGCAGCTGTGAGGTTTGGGCGGATGACCAGAAGTCGGAACGTTTTTCCACAGAAAGCACCCCACACCATGCAACTTCCGCCCCGAATCTGTCGACTTCCTGTACACAACATTGGGCATACCGTTCACGGCGTCGTCTCCAGACTCTATGCCTGCCGTCCAGCGAATCTGAGGGTAAACCTTGATTCATCGCTAAAGGCGACTTCGATTCCAGTCTCTCTGGGTCCATCAGAGATGACGTTGGGTCCACAGCAGACGTTGACGCTGATGAAGCGGCGTCAATATTGGCCCACGATATGGACGCGTCGAGAATAGAGATTGGCAGCCCGCGAAACCGATTCGAATGGTCTGTGAGGACAGTCGACCTCTAAACATCTCAGCCCTGGTTCGTGTAGCCGGCAGAAATCTGTCACGTAGGTGACGTAGACGATTTGACGGTCTTCTGCTGCGTGACGTCACACATAGAAGACCGACCTTGGGCGATCAGAAGTGGTGCCAGTTTGTTGTAGACGACCTCGCCAAAGTCATACACAGTCACGAAGGCTGCATCCCATTGCTCTTGCGACGTCAATAACTGATCTTCCCGCTTGCAACATGCCAACGGCACGCGTTCAAGTTGCACATTTGACAATCGTAGCATTTCAAGTACCGTTAGAACTGTGGTTTAAAAGTGTTTTTTCAATTCTTGAGGCCAATGCAAACACGTGCATATAAAGAAAACTTCGATGCGAAGATCACGTGATCGACTGCACGTGCAAAACCTGATTTGGCACTAACGTCATTTGCACGACGAATGGATGGGTTTGAGTGGATTTTGCTAACGTTTTTCTAGAGTCAAAAGATAGGGATCCCATTTCGGATACATAGATGTATCATCAGAGAAAAATTATTCATTATTTTTCAAATTACATTTTGTGAAGTTTCTTTTTTGACTTGGTATATAATGAAAGGTAGAACATGGACAAGTATGATGAACACATGGCACAACTTTTGGTGGTGATCCACTGTCTTGCTAGGACTGTCCATTGACCCTTCTGTGGACGATATGTAGTGGTGTTCTGAAGTCATTGTGATTCCACCACACATCATTACAGATTGACCACAACATGAGCCACAAAGCTACCAGTTTGTTGTTTAATGCCACACTTAGCAGTATTTCAGCTAAATGGTGGTCTGTAAATAATTAAGTCTGGACCAGACAATCCAGTGATCAACATCCTGAGCATCGACCAACGCAATGTGGATACGATGACGTGTCAACCAAGTCAGTGATCCTGACAACCTGATACTATTAGATGCCTCTTACAACAAGCATGGGTTACTGAAGACCAATTCTAACCTGCATCTTCAAAAAGCCACCAGACACATCCATGTAAATATGGTCATGTCTGAAAAAACATTACATGGAACCATTGTTGATTGAATATGCGTCTCCTGGCAGGACATCGACAAAACAGGTTCCTGGCTTGGAGACGTCGCCGAATGGTAGGTCACTGACTGGTCGCTGGTGGTTTCCTATGGTCACCCAAGCTGTTTCTCTGGCCCTTGCGAATAGGTCTTGCACGTGTTGATGGACGATATGACGGTCCTGGCAACGTGTTGTTACACAGGGTTGACCACTATGTGGACGGTCATCAGTGCTGCTGGTGGCGTATCGCACTCTAAGACGTTCTATCGTTCGTACGCTGCAACTGAAGTCATAAGCAATCACTCGAGCATGTTGACCAGCGTGCAGACGTCCAATAGCTTGTTGTGGTTGATCTCTCGTTAACCTAGTCATAGCTGCTGTGTTCAGAAAACAAGTGAACGATTGCCATTCAAGCCGGCAATTTATGCCTGAATGCATTTATGATGCACGTGCATCTCGATTTCAATGTTGTGTTTGTGGGAACTTTTCCCTCTCCAAAAACTTCAATCTCAAACAATACTTTATTGGGCAATGCAGGCTATACGACCACGATTCATGTTTCCTCAAACTTGACTTCTGGTGTATATTTAAAAAATAGGTTCAAATACTCCATTGATACTCAAATGTCATTTCTAATATTACGACGTTTCTTTTGCCTTTCAGTATATATACCTTTTGCATCTGACAACTGATCCAAACAGCGATAGTTCATCATTTTCATAATAGGCCATGGGCCAAGCCAGCATATTGTGACAAAGTGCTCCAGGCTGGAGGATGAATAGGATGTTTTGGCATAGTAATTAAGATAGAAATGTATTAAAGTCTATCTAACAAAGTTCTCCTTAAAATATTTGGTCATTAGGGAAAAATAAGCAATTTAGTGGTCCAGTTTCACCTGGCATTATTGACCAATCAGAAGGCAGCATGCAGTTTGGCCTGGTGTAGGTAAATGGTTGCTTCCTTGAAGCCTCTGCTTCGAAACCCTCCCCAAAAGACACACGCTGGAAGGTGGTGAAAGGGAGAACGTCCCGGTTGCTCAACTGACTTAACGTTCAGTACTAATCCCCCTAACTTACCAAGGGAAGAAAGGACTAGGAGCGGAACGCTTCGAAAACCACATAGGTAATCGGGAATGCGAGAGACTTCCGAGGTGGAGGCAGTAGATAACTAGATGAAGAGTCTCTTGCGCAACCTGTGTCGGTCCTTAGAAGCAGCCAAGTATATCCACAATGCCTTAACTGGGCACAGGGAAAGATCTTCCATGTCATCAGGACCAAAGATAGTGGACAGCGTTGGAATCGAGAATGTGCGATCCGGCTGTCCTGGTACAGTCGAGCACCGTTGTCTCGATATTCATGGGACCAAGAATAAATATCGAGTTTTCCGACCGAGGCATATTGTCACATATCACTATGAAAGAAAACAAAACAAAAAGTAGATTTCATATATATTTATTTGTATATACATTTTTACTCACAGGGATCGCGATCACACACGATACAGCTCATGTTACAGTGCTTATCTTGAATGATACACAAGTTCTTCGTCTCAATCTTCTTTACTGTCAGCTTTCTCTTTTTAGGTGTACCAACATCTGATCTAGTTATCCCCCCAGATAAGCGGGTCCTTTGCTCAGACATGGTGATAACCCTGCTAGTCACGTGATTACACAAAACCTCATTGGATTCTCAATGTTCTCAAGTCGTAACAGTGAGTACTTCCTAATTAATTCCTTCTTAATTAATCCTAATTAAATAACAAACAAGTGACACCTTCAACTCAATTAGCCCTAATTAGTTTACACTACCACATCCCTTTGATTCATGCCGCACCGTGTGGAAACGTGTGGAAACAACCTCAGTTCAGAGGGATACTTGCCCATGAAAGGTAGGTGAATATCGAGTTTCTTTGCAAATATCGAGTTAAAAGGCTAATATTTGCTCCGAAATATCGAGACATCCGTATCGAGTTAAAAGAGCTTGAATAATGATAAATTATGCAGGATTCTGCCGGGACCGAGATGTTATATCGAGACAGCCAAGATATCGAGTTATCAGAGTTTGACACAACAGTGCTCGACTGTAGTTGGTTCTTGGCGATGAAGCTAAGGGCTTCTCCTGTTTCCTGTAGTCCAGTCCAGTTTAGTGGAGAATAATGGTAGAACTTATAGACGTCCTCCATGAGCTTGTCAAGAGAACTCAACAAGGATAGATCTTTCCAGCTTTCTTCATGGCCAGTTCCAATCTGTGTGCGATACATGGAATGGGTATCACATGTGGGACATCATTTCTTAATTTTGCTGCCACCCCTCCTTTTCTGCCCATCATTACTGGTGCTCCGTCCTGACGTAAAAGAGACAACTTTGTCTTTCCAGTTAGGAAAATCTCCAATCTCTGTCAAAGCTTTGTCAATAGCTTCATATATCCCTGTTGCATCTGCTCTTGCCACCTCTCAAAACACACCTGGGAGATGTCGAGGGTGTGTAACTTGGAAATGCGGGTAGCAGTGGCCAAAGCCAAGAGAAAGAAGGTCTTAAAAGTGGCCTGTT